AGAATGAATTTGTATTTTGTGGTCATAACATTGCCAGAAATTTGGGACATTTATCAAAAATCATTAGTTAACCTATTAATATAAGAATAGTTAGTCTCTCAATTGCCTTTTAAATTCCATATCTAGAAAGAAGTTGTATTTTTTGGTCATAATGAGATCTGGGATCTGAGGCCTGGCGATTTCTGGATAATAATTACAAAGATGTCAGAGATTCACGAACCTTAATTGCTCGAATAGCAGCAAATGTGTGGGTTCCAGGCTGCAATGCAAAACCAAATTCCTCCACAACTGGATATTCATCTTGATGTTGTATGGAAACTTTAAACCCAGCGATGTTGGAGTCACTGACATGATCTTCTTCCTCGACGTTCAGGCGAAGTCTTAAACCATTCGTTGGCCCAGGGATATAAGACTTTAGACGTTCATGACCATTTTCCCCAGAGTTGAAGGTAAAGCACTGGCCCAACCTTAAAGTGACAAAGGAACTGAAATTTGCAGGTGAGCATTTAACTCCTCGCCATACACAGGGCTCAATCCAATCGAACGACAGCATGCCTTCTATTTTGTGCGATTAGTTTTTCAAAGTATTTTGAAAATTATTTCCTCGTCGATGATAGTCCTCAGAAGCGTTTAAAAGCTTGAACATCGAGACCTCTTTCTTCGATCTTGAAAATTTCTGATCACCTGATCTCGGCTGCAATGATGACATTATTAATTGAGCCTCTCTGTGCAGTTCCTCTTCAGACTTATTTCCACGATACGTTCGGATTGTCTTGGCATATTCCTTCTTGCTAATATAATTAAGATTACAGATGGTTACTGCTGGAAAATCGATCTCTTTTAATCTTTTTGTAATTACTGTTGTCGAAATTGGTCGTAGGAAAAACTGTACAAAAGTCGAGTGTATTTGAATGCCACAGAATGCGAAACCCGTCCCCAAGACAAGAAACCATATTACTCTCACCACTCCTTTTCGATCGACCAGAAACCGAGCACCATGAAGGCTGGTCTCGCTGCAGAACTTCCGAACATGAAATTTGAAAGAACTATCGTCAGCTAGTTTATCAGCCATTTCGCTCTGTCTTGGTTATCTTATGCACCTGGTTCTATTATTCATGATTAAAAGTTTGATTAGAAAGTATTGACGTGGTAATGTTGTATTGTGTTGACAATGTTGTGAATGAGGCTTAATGATTCTTTTTAGTATTTTTACATGGAAGCTATTAGGTGAATATTAGGAGAAACTTTTGGTAGAAGGCACAAAATGTTTTGATCCCCACAAAATCTCAGCAGTAATTTTTTAAATCTCAACAGTAATTTTCATATTCCCCCTAAATTTGTTCGACCACAAATTAAAAAAAGGGAAACAAATTCAATACAAATTATTGAGTAAAGGAGTGATTTTATGGTTATTTTCAATCTCAAGACTAGATTTCATCTCGAGTCACTAAAATATCTTAGTAGGCTCAATGTATTTTCTGGTCATGCTCTTGTACTAGTCCAGCATGCAATACTTTAAGCTTATCGGAAATCCTGTTGATGCAGTTGATATTATATAGGAAAATTCATTGGATGACGAGGTAATTCCGCAATGAATTTCACGAGAAAAACGATATCGCACGAGTCGTCATCCGCCATGAAGTTTTCTTGAATCCCATATCTTTATAGAAACAGCCAATTTTTGCGGTAGAAAAGTGTCATTCTGCCATTTCAAACGTTTTGTGTGTACCCGGCGGAAACGAAGCCAGTTTCATTTTCAGTGAATCTACGATATTTATCTTTTAAATATTTATACATCTATATTTTATTATAATACTTTTTAATATTCTAATATTATTCTTTATCTATTTCATTATATATTGTAAATTTTAACACGCAATTCAGTCGTAAGACTGCAAAGTGTTTTATTTAATAAACGATATTCTTCTTCTCCTCATTAGTGTTTTCATTGTTGAGTCCAGCCAATGGACAACAAGCAAAAAATGTGGTAAATTTGCCCTTCATATCCAAGACTTTCAAGTTTAAGCTGAAATCGTATATTTGGCCTTCAAATATTACCGATTAATTTTCGAGAAAAAATACCTTTGGTGAACTAACTTCAACGAGAACATGTTTGCTGCTGTCGACCACAAACTTATTCGACTCAAGAACTGAAAACAGCTTTCTATTGGAATCTAAAACTCGACTTTCAGAGGCGTCTTGATAACATAAAATGAAAAAAGAAAACTCAATTCAAATTTCTGATAGTCTTTGCTGAAGTTTATTCATGACGAGTCGACTGAATTTTTTGTGTACCTCGACAGCCGTAAACGTAAGAATATGTTTATATAGCTTATAAATTTCGAAAAATTAAAGTTATTTCGTGCATATCACCATAGATAAATGCTGCCTCAAAGTCAGGTTAGTGTTTTTTTTTCCTTTTGGTCTCCAAATCTACAACATTGAACGATAAAACCCGATTGCTTGGGATCTTGCAGCTTGTTGTAACACCCATTCTCACTTAAATAGGTAGATTGCTGTCCCACATGTTTCCTCTCATTGCATAATTTTACTTTGACACTCTGAAAACCTTCATTGTGATTATTATTTTTCTTATCTATATTGGAGTTTATCCTGAAAGTTTCAGGAAAAAATATTAAAACACCTACTGCTGAGATATTTACAAGTCATGCAGGTGGTTGAAATGAGCATGTCTAAATAGACAAAACACACCAATAAACAGTTTCATGAAATCAATGATCAAGTTTACTTGTTAGTTTCTATCGTGGTGTAGTGTTTCGTAAGTATTAAAATTACTATCTCTGTTTTGTACGTGTTTGCCACCATCGAATTACTGTGTCCAAGAAAAAGGTTTAAATTACGTTACCATTATTTTACCATGCAATTAATACATGTACAATTTCTTCCTCCGTCATCCTTTCTGGCTTTTAAAACTTTCATACTTAGTGAAAGTAATCGAAACTTCATAGATCTGATATTGACGTTTTCGAAATTTCAATTTTACACAATGAATTTGACGCTTATAATTTTTGCCGGTAATTTACGTTATCTATTTTTTTGCAACATCTAGAAAAGCCTTGTTGATATTAAAAAGATAGCTCAATAGTAAATCATCATCATCATCGTGCTGTTTCGCATACAAAGCATACAAAGCATAAAGTGGTTTACCTATGTTCTTAAACATCAATAATTTCGTTTTATAACAAGAATCATGTAGCGTTGTAAATTACGTTACCGTAATGTAAATTACTGGAATAATGATAAAGGGTGTTTAATTACTTTAATCTTCTTTAAAAAACTTGACAGTAATGCGTGCTGTGTCTAAAATCAACAAAGAAAGGTCAAAGGCTAGGGGCTCGTCGTCATTTGATTCTCTTTTCTCCACGTGGAAAGTAGTGAACACACAATTTGGCGTTTTAATTCAAGTTCTTCTCAAACTTCTTAAAAAATGACAGGATAAGTTAAACAAGCTGTATTACAATTGTTCATATTTTGCACTACTATATTTATTAATCAAAAAATGCTACTGAGGGTAAATGATTGCACATATACGACTTCTAAACCATGGGCTAATGGAGGATGCCTATCAGTCGAGTTAGGATTCTCGAGTTGGATTCTCGAGTTGGATTCTCGAGTTGGATTCTCGAGTTGGATTCTCGAGTTGGATTTTAATTTTACCATAACATGTAAATTACGTTACCATTCTTTAGAGCAACTGACATTACGGAATTGTAATCTATATATTAAATTCGAATTTTGTGTCATTATTTCATTGCATATTTTTAAAATTATTAAAATTATATTTATTATAGTAATTTATGGATACCTAATCTTCAACTTTTGAGGTCCTGCAAAATTCAGCAGCTAAGGCTACCTATTGAGCTGTATCTTCTGAACCACTTAACTTTAGCCCGGCAAACTTCAGAACATAACAACTGAAGCATGTAGCTCTCACCAAAAGAACTTTTTGGGGGCATACAGGAAACTTTATTTTTCATCATTAAAAACACTCAATCTACCTATTTAACTGAGAATGGGTGTGAAGAGTCAAGACCGAAACGCGCACATGAGTCATCAGACAAAGAATGTGAAAATTTCTGATTTCTTTTTCTAAACTTATAAGGCAAATTTAGCGAAACTGTTAATTTGTATTAGTGCTAGAATTGGTAAGATAACTAAGAATTAAAACGTCTGTTTTAATTAATTCTTTGAAAGTATGCACAAAGTAAACCTTTTTTAGAAACCATATAGAAAATAACTAGTATAAGCAAACCCTACGCGAAAGCGTATTTTATAACATCACATCCTTCCATACTCCATTCTATCCCACTATCCTATTCCATCCTAGCCCAAACAATGCTACCACACCCATCTTATCCCGTCTTCTTCCATATATTCCGTGTACCACCACCCATCCCATCCTTTCAAACCACAGCCAATTAATATCCCAATGTATCCAATCCGATACTACTTCTCATTATCCTTACCAACTCTTTTAATTCTATCCCATTTTAACCTGTCTATTCCAATTTTATCTATCATCCATGTCATTGCATCATATCCTATCATATCCCAACGTGTCTTACCTTTATCTGTATTTCTCTCAAATTCATCTGCCGTTCTATTTTTCAAAATACAGAAAAAAAGTCATATCTGAACAAATAATTCAAGAACTAAACTAAAAAGAAGCAAATTATTCAGAAAGTGCCGGACAAGCTCTCTGTCAATATTTAGCCAGGAATCAATATGACAACTTGTCAATGTACTACTATGGTTACCCCATAGAGATTGCATAAAAACATTATAAAAAAATCCAAACTACTTTTAGAATGATTGTAGGAAGACTTTTTATCTCTAAAGAACATTTTTCGCTATTAAAGCTCAAAACGAAAGAGCTTCCTGACTGTTAATAAGTACACAACTTACTTTCGGTTAGTTCATCTCCACGCAAAATAATTTCCCCTAGAAAATTTCAACTGAACCGAAAATTCCACTGTTTTAAAGTGTTTTTTGTTTGAAAATATTATATAACACATAGAATTTTTTTTACTTTGTGCATACTTTTAAAGAGCATTTTTACATCTCTCGAGAATAAAATCAGCGAAAATCAAAATATTTTATCAAACTTTCTAAAACATTGCAATTTGAGTTCTAAGATAATATTTAACTTTTCATGAAATTCCCAAAGTGCTAGCTATTATAGTGTGGATGCTGTGAGTTCTTTAATTTGAAACAGATTGTCGGCGTGAAATTTGCATATTTGTGTCAACTACCATCTTTCTCTATTTTCTCCAAAACTGAGTCGTATTTCATCAAGAAAACAACACAGAATTTATTCTTATAAAATATGAGCAGATTTGGATTTTCGACCGTTGCTGCCTAATGTTCGTTTCTTGCTGACATGTATTCTTAAGAATACTTTAGCACAAAAATTCGATTTTCAAACTCTTTTTTCTAAGATATTGTTTGATGTTTTCGGACGGCGCTACTGGATTTTTATAGATTTTTATAACTTTGTTCTTTTTCCCTTTTTTCAATAAAAAAACAACAACAAACAAACAAAAACTACAGCACACAAAAAAAGAACAACAAAAAAACATTGTACTGAAATTGCATTACATATCTATAGCGTTTGTCCGAATTTCCACTGGATAGATTTTTATAACTTTGTGCTTTTTCCCTTTTTTTCAATAAAAAAATAACAACAAACAAACAAAAAACAACAGCAACAACAAACAAACAAAAAACAAAAAAACAGAAAAACAAAAAAGCACTTTAAATTAAATACCTATAGCGTTGTTTTGTCCGAATTTCCACTAGGTCTTTTCAAGTGTTTTAAGGTATGACACTAACCCTGACAATGATTGCTTGTTTTTTAATGGCTCGAATTTATTGCAGATGAATTATTGATTACCAGAAGTACATAACCAGAAGTTGTCCCCTGTTTTCGCAGACCATATTGCTCTTGAACTACCTTCGCTACATTGCTCATATAGTAGAGAATGTTTTGGCAAATTCTGATGAAATGGTTGTTCCGCAAAAAGTGTAAAATTCTCGTGATGCAATCTTCACTTCGTTGGCCTCCATCGACTGCATTTTCCTTTCTTGCCTTGAAGTAGTATCAACAAGAACCAATCAGGTGCTGTGTTACATGTGCGTGCGTTGTGATTGGTTGTCTAAAAATAGATTATCGGGACATCTGATGGTGGCGATATTATATGCGAGATGGACACTTCTGGTTATGTACTTCTTTGATTACGTCATTATGCACGTCTCTTGTGCTCTGAAATTTAATTAACTTTTCCCTGATATGGCATGAACGCGACAATATTAGCGAATGCCCCATCATTTTCTCTCGATGATTACGAGCGTTTCGCCAAAACACCCGGCAAAACCCTAACTAGAAAGCTCATATGTGCTCATATGGGAATGGGTGTATAAAGAGGAGAGTATAATCACGCTTACCAAGAGAGATATTCAGAAATAAAGTCCTTAACAAAAAGAAGCTACTCTCATCATAGAACTTCACTAGGTCTCGGGTTGAAATAATATTATTTGCAGAGTCAAAGTACACTAAAACATAGTGGCGCTTGGATGTGGGAAACCAAGTTGATTACTGCTCATGCTGTACAGATGGAGATATCTTCATCAATTATTCATTTTTGATATTTTTTCATTTATTTCATTTTTATTACTTCGGCCACGTGTTTATATCTCACGATGAAACACTCCTACTCGTTATTTTAAGTAATATTTACAACATGAGAGGCCGTGTTGTATGGGATTTTACAATCTCGAGCCGAAGGCGAGAGATTGTAAAGCCCATACAACACGGACGCGAATGTTGTAAATTACTTGTGAAACGTTTAGGTGTATACATTCATAATCTACTAAAAACTTAAAAATAAAATTGAATTTGGCTGAGAAAATTAGATTTTAAGTTTATGCAAATCAAGACAGTGTTGTATCAAATATTACAACACTCTTCACGGTTGTGATTTCTATTGTGTTTTCCTCATTAATTATTCATGGGTTTTACAAAGATCACTTAGTGCGTAAACCTGTTTTATTTACTACCTCACTTTGCGGTAAACTGCCTTCTGTAAGGTTTAACAATACCAGGGCAAATATATTGATGGTTTATGTAACAATACACAATAAAGGCAATGATTCTAGTGAAATCACGCCAATAGATTTGGCGAGGTATTACACAAAAGCAAAACAATAAAGCTAAGAAAACAAAAAAGACGAATAAATAAACAAAATAAACAGAGTAAGTTATATAAATTGTTATAAAAAATGGTATAAATGGTATAAATATCGATAAAAATGTTTTTTTTTTATCACTTCGATCTCTTCCAAAATTTTAGTTCTGCATTGCTGTGGTTTTGCTGCTCCGGTAGATCATTTTGTATACGCAAAGAAACAGAAAATCCAAAAATTCAAGGACTGTAAGGAGACTCATTCCAAGAAAGAGGCCAAGGTATCCACCAACGGTTCCTAAAATACACGCACAAAAAAACTCATTGGTTCTCCGCATATTTAACAGAGAAGCATCTGTAATGTATGGACTATATGATTACATATATGACTTAGATTCGGTAAACCCACAAGTAAAAAGCACAGGGATTCTGCAAGAGTGATATTTAAGTCATTGATAGGTACTCTTAATAGTGCCATCATTTTTGGTCCACCTTGAGAGGTAGGCTTTCATTCTACAAAATTTTATACTCCCTCAATCCTTGATACCATCGGATAACTTACTGCGAAATAGGTTTAACTTAAGATTAAAGCGCTATATGCCTCTAGGAGTATGAGCACACATGCAATAGTATGAA